GAAAAAATGAGGACCAGGGGTTTAAGTGGAGAGCAAATGTTTTGAGAATGATGAGGGCAATGAATGTATAAATGTGCTTTACACAATTGATGTATATATGGATTGTGATAAGAGTTGTATGAGCCCCTAATAAAATGATTTTTAAAAAACCAACCAACCTTTAATCATGAATCTTGTCTGTGAGTTCTGTGTTGCCATTGTAAAGGATGTTAGGACCCTGAAATAAATGGAAATGCTAGCTAAAACGAATCATTACACAAATAACAATGAGTACAAGGAAGAAGAACATGCTCTAAAATTGTTTGTGTAATGATGGTAAAACTCTTCTTGATAGGATCGAACTATTGACTTGTGTGATATGTGGATGAAGTGTCAATAAAACTGTTAGAAATGAGAGAGAGAGAGATTACTAGTTGAGAAAACACAGATCTGTCGTCAAGTCAATCCCTGACCTTGCTTCCTCCATATCCCTCTTCTGTTCCTCAGCATCTTCTTTTCCTCTGATTTAAGCAAAAATCACCAAACCTCTCCCATTTAAGAGGAGAGAGTCCTTTCTCTTGGTCTTCATCCCGCCCCCACCACCACCATTGCCCTCCTTAGACCATCCTTTCCCTTGTATTATCAAATTCCTCCATAGTCTAAACTCCCCTCTCCTACAATCCCTCTTCAAACCATGGCAATCTCCATCTGTCCTCATGATTCATTACCACCGTCCCAAAGTCACCCATCACTTCCCAATTAAAAATCCAGTGGGTATTTACCAGGACAACTTGACCTTTGCCTCTCATGCTGATATTTACAATCTCTTCTTGGGTTTTTCTTCCTACTCTTCCGTTACCACTTTCATGGTTTCCTTTAAAACATTTTGTAAGAAGAAAGTGGTCTTCTCACAATCCTTATTTTCTTGCCCTTTAAATAATGCTGGTCCTTCCAGTTTAATTGTTTGTTATCTTCTCCCCTTCCAAGCCCCGTCTCGTTGGGTGATTTTTATCCTGTACCTGTTACTGTTGCTCTATAATATACTACTCTAAAATTCAGCAACTTGAAGAAAACCAACATTTTATTATTCCCACAGATTTAGGAAGGGCACAGTGGGACTGTTCTCATTTCCACAATGTCTGGAGAGCCTAATCTGAGAGGACCTGGAGGCTGAGGTTGATCGAAGAGCTAGAGACTAGCAGGTGCTCACATAGCTGGTGGCTGTCTGGAACTATCAAAAGGAGTGCCTCCGTGTGTGGCCTCACCATATGGCATGAGCTTCGCATAATGTGATGCCTGAAGATAGGATGACTTCTCCACATTAACTCAGAACTCTCAGCACTAAGTTTACAATGAATACACTCGTCACCTAGAGCTGCAAATCCTACTGTAAACTCACTGCCACTGAATTGATTCCAACTCATAGTGAGCCTATAACACAAAGAAGAACTTCCTCCATTTGGGTTTCTGAGGCTGTAAATCTTTTTTTTTTTT